AACGCTTTCTGTGATTGACCTGATATTTAAAACTAATTCAGAGCTTGCAAGCTATGCACGAGGCGCCTCCCTGCAGGAATAGTGAACAGTTCAATGGTATAGAAAATTTATTCAGTAAAGAAGGTATTAGAGCAATAACGATTAGCAGAGGAAGAATATTATTGAAAAGAGTATTTCGGTTAACAAACCAGCGAAATTTGCAGATCCCTGCCAGCAATATCCAGGCGCAAGAGGTCGGCCTTTCCAAACGGCGAGGCCTGGGCGGCCTCAAGTGCCGCTGCTGACTCCTCAGTCTCCTCCATTCTGCCAATTAAACTCAAACAGGATGGCTTTTGCACGACATCCTAAGTTGCTCGTAACGTAGATATCAAATCTCTGGTTTTATCCATGCCTTTCAGTTGACTACGAAACTCCGTTGGCCGGTAATTTTCTGCACGTTAAACGAAAGAACTCATTTCTGGAGTTTTCTTTTGGCCAGGATTTAATATTGACATTCGTAACTTTGTAGTATCGTGCGACAAATGCCAGCGTATTACTGTATTAGCCACAAACACATTAAATCGGCACCACTGACTAGATTACCGATTTGTTCTGAACCACTTTCACGCGTCTCGATGGACATAGTCGGACCACTCTTTCCATCTTCCTCGGCGGGCCACAAGTATGTACTCACCTTATTAGATTTAGCCACGGGATTTCCCGAGGCAATCCCGCTCAGAATGATTGATCTCGCGTTGGAATACTGCGTGAAATTTTGAGTGACAACGGAGCGTCATTTACCTCGAAAGCGGTCGCACCCGAAACTTGCGGTCGCGTTGAAAGATTTTACTCCGCTCTTAAACTTTGCCTACGTAAACTCTGTGCTGATAAACCCAGAGATTGGCACAAGTATTTAATCCCTACTCTTTTAGCCATTAGAAAGATGTCCTCTGATAGCACTGGCTTCTCGGCGTTAGAATTGCTTTATGTAAGACCAGTAAAAGGACCACTGGCCGCTTGCGTGACTTCTGGGAGGACAAGAAGATTGTTCAGGACGACCGAGCATTCCAGTATGTTGTAGAACTACAACAAAGGCTGGAATATTGCGCCCGCAAATCAGCTCTATCTTCTGGTCTCAGCTCTGCCAAATATCATTCTTATTTCTTGACAGAATCTCTCAAGAAGTTACCGTTTGCTTTGAAAGTTCCATACACCGTCCTTGAGAAGAGAGGCACAGTGAATTACCTTATCAATCAGGATGGAACGCCTAAATTGTACCTACAGCACCTAACGCCTAAATTGTACCTACAGCACCTAACGCCTAAATTGTACGGGCAGCCTTTTATTGCCGCACGAGTTCTCGTCGCTGAAGACGAGCCATATTCTAATGAAGACAATCTTGAATTTCACTGTGCCCTGCAATCCGGAAAAACCAGGAGTGCGAAACAAATTCTAGTCTCGACCTGACCCAGAAGATTGAACTTACTCAGCTGCTCGGAGAATTTCGCGATGAATTTCTGAACTCCCTGGCAACACAATACTATTCAGCTTGATATTCAATTAGCTTCGACGGAAACTTCATGCAAGCAACTATGCTGTGCCTTCGCACCTCAAGCAGGTAATTGATGAGGAAGTTGATTCTCTCGTCAAGCTTGGAATAATTGCGCCATCTATATCCCCCGTACAGCCCGCCAGTAGTTCACGTCAAGAAATCCCATGCAACGTACCGTTTGACAGTGGAATTCAGGCGAATAAATTCACCAATTGTCTCTGACGCAGAATTAACAAATGTTACGAGTTACAGATCGATGACGAGTTACATAAATTACATGGAGCACGTTATTTTTCAGACGGCGTTTTCCCTCATCTTACAAAGGCGTACTATTAAATTTCTTTACCTAGCAAAGCACAGATGTTCACTGTTATTCCTACCAGCAGAGGCGTTATGCAATTCACCGGATTACCTTTCGGCATAGTTACAGCTTGTGCCACCTACGTCATATTAATGCGTATCATATTGAAATACTTGCCTAATGTCAGTTTCTACTTCGATAACTTTTTCATTTTTTTCGGACAAACGGAAAACCCATGTCGAAACTATAAACCTTGTTCGCCTGCGCTTGTACGAGCATGGTCTGACCGCAAGACCCTTAAGTGTCGGTTCGGTCTTGGAGAGTTGAATTATTAGGAATTAAAATTTTCCAAAGACTCAATATCACCGTAGATTTCAAAACTGGATGCCAATGCTGCCATTCCGGCTCCTCAAACAAAGAAAGCGTTGAAATCATTTTTGGGAATTTTCTCGTACTACCGGAAATTCATTCCAAATGCAGGCGCCGTTACAGCTTTACTATCTGATTTGCCACGAAAGGGTGTTAAAGAATGTTTCACGTTCTCACCTCGCCAGTCGGCTGATATCAATTGAATTAAAAATTGCCTCGTTTCTGAACCTATATTACGTTTGCCCAATTTGTCTAAGCCATTCACACTGCGAACAGACGCATGTAATGACTGCCAACGTATGAGACGGCCAACGTTACATCCGGGACCAGAGGGCGGGGTGACCTGCCTAGCGACGACTCGGAGACGAAGGACGACGAAGGCGGAGCATCAGCTTGACCGTGGACTACGACGTCCTAAACTCATCATAAGGACGGCATCGGTGCTGTTCTTTGCCAATATTACGATGAAACTGCGTTCGCCGTTACATAATCGTCTCGGACAAGAATTCATACTTGAAGTCGACCACAAACCTCTGGTCTATCTTAAACCTTCGAGAACTCGAACGATCGATTGACGAGATGGTCACACTTATTACAGGAATTAAAATTTAGGTAGTTTCGTATCCGTGGTATTATGAACGTGTGTGCTGATTTTCCGAGCCGGGACTCTAGAATCAACCTCGATGGCACACGTACGCTAATTAACCCGCCAAGACTTAAGTTTTGTTCCTAAACTTGTATATATTATTGAGTCTAACAGTTGGAGACCCAACCTACAATGACCAATTTTCTTCGCATTTGTTTTGTTGTATGCCGCTTTGCGTTCAGTCGTAACTTTACTGGCCTCATGTTAAATGCTGCGTTCGTATTTAGAAAATTTATCCTTTGCAGTAATAAGTTGAATTGTAGCGCTTGAATTTACATCCTACAATTGCCTTTTATTGTTCGTTATTAGAATTGAGATTTATCACTTATGTGCCTTGTATATGGACGTTCATATTTTTTGTTGTCTTTTCATTGATCATTCTTAATTGTGCATGTCGAATAATCGATCTCCGATAGTCACTTTTGTCGCTTGACCGTAAATTTTCACGAGCTTCGCTGTCTTAGAGGGGAGGTTGTGTAAGGATCAAGCCATTTCTAGTTAACCCTAAGGTAATTAATCACATGCGGTGTCAAAATCGGAATTCATTAGCCGATCATAAGCCACTCGTACTCAGGCCGCTAGCGCCATGGGTTAGTAGAATAATGTGTGCTCTTGATGGGAAATCTTCATTTGCGGTACCCGTGTTCATGATATTCTGTACAACCTCTGAAACATTTAAGGGGCCACGCTGATCTATCTTGTGTCCATCCAGTTTCGGTTGGTGAGACTATCTGGTTCAAGTCTCATTCTACCGTCAGACGTCTGTGATTCTACCGTCAGTCGTCTGTGATCCTACCGCCAGTCGTCAGTGATTCTACCGTCAGTCGTCTGTGTTTCTACCGCCAGCCGTCTGTGATGCTACCTACCGTCAGTCGTCTGTGATTCTACCGCCAGTCGTCTGTGATTCTATCGCCAGTCGTCTGTGATTCTATCGCCAGCCGTCTGTGAGGCTACCTACCGTTAGTGTTCTTTGATTCTATCGCCAGTCGTCTGTGATCCTACCGTCAGTCGTCTGTGATTCTACCGCCAGTCGTCTGTGATCCTACCGTCAGTCGTCTGTGATGCTACCGTCAGTCGTCTGTGATGCTACTGCCAGTCGTCTGTGATTCTACTGACAGTCGTCTGTGATTCTACCGCAAAATATTTTTTTCTGCCTCGTAGCCCCGCTGTAACGCATTGCATATGTCGCAACGCTCGGGCAGCTGAAGCAAGAAGCGATCGACAGAACTGTTTGTAAGCACACTACACATGCACGTGTGCTACAACTTTTAAGGTTTGAGATAAATGAGCGTGACCGTGCGCGTGAGTTCGAAAAGGTTAATTAGACTAGAGACCCAGCAGAAGTTAGAGTTTGAGGAAAACGAGAAAGTTCGACAAGACGAAACTGCCATGGCTGAGGTTAGAGGAGGGCTGGCGTTGCAGAGATAGTTAGTTTTCAGTCCTTTGCTGTAAGACCAAAACTGCCTGTGTTAGGGAGGCGATGCTATCGCCTCATTTTTAGCGCATTTTCTCATTTATGGAAAAAATGCACTATTGTGCTCGCCATGTCCATCCGTCTGTCCGTGACCTCAAGTTTTCGTCTACGAGAAAATGCGCGGTCTGTCACTCACGGCAGTGAGTACTGAGTTAGATTTTTTATTAGATTTGAACGGGTAGCAAAACTACTTAACATCAGCGCAGATTCTTCTGCAGCTAGTATAGAAAGTTTCCTTTTGGGCAAGCTGTGAATATTTATAATAGTTTAACTTCTGAAGTGACTGGGGACTAACCTCCGCTTGATGAATGCTTTCCTTGCAGTCTTATGAAAGACTCCTGATAATTATTGCATAGATTTTAAATCTGCCTGAATTCAGCCGCATGAGACATATGAACGGTTTATATGAAGCTTGAGACGGAAACTCAATTATTGGCTGTACTCAGAAAAGACCCCAAAACATTTGGTTAGCTGCACGAATTCATGCTTAGAGAACAAGCGAACATTGCTTCCGTCAATTAAGAATTAAGCCACGACAAACTTAGAGACACGGAACATCTTTAAGCCACGACAAAAAAACTTGGGGTCACAATCGACCAATCGCGACTTCATCTTCACTAAAATTTGTCTTCAAATGAACATTCGTTAGCTGACAGAAAATGTGGTAATAAACATAATCGCAGGTTAGTATGATTTATTTACGACAGATACGTTACTGCATCTTGCATGACAATTCTCCATTCACTGGTTAATTATTTCTTCTGTCCTTTCTTTCTTCCCTCAGCTACGACTTGCCGCTGGCGTTAGCATTCCAGTGACTTGCATTTTCGACAAAGCCTTTCAATGTTCCTTATATTTCACCAGTTTCTTCAGCTTTTCCGTTGTCTTATCCGTTATCTGCTTATCCGTTATCTGATTTTCCGTTATCTCCTTATCCGTTATCTGCGTATCCGTTATCTCCTTATCCGTTATCTCCTTATCCGTTATCTCCTTATCCGTTATCTCCTTATCCGTTATCTCCTTATCCGTTATCTCCTTATCCGTTATCTGCGTATCCGTTATCTGCTTATACGTTGTCTGCTTATCCGTTTTTCGTAGCAATTTGAGACTGGGAACTTGCGAAGGCTTCACTCCGACTCAGGCCCCGTTGCCCGTGTCGAGCTGGGCCAGCAGTGCGTCGTACACGGGCTTGCTGGACGTCACGATGGACGTAACGGGCTCTTGGTCCAGCTTCTCGTACAGGTCCAGGAAGTAACCTGTAGGAGGGGAGGGGGTTAGGTTATCGTCGGCCTATGGGGGAGACCTAAGCCTATGTCGGCCTATGGGGGGAGATAACGGCCTATGGGGGAGACCTAAGCCTATGTCGGCCTATGGGGGAGATAACGGCCTATGGGGGAGACCTAAGCCTTGGTCGGCCTATGGGAGGAGACCTAAGCCTATGTCGGCCTATGGGGGAGACCTAAATGTCCACATGTGGAGATACCAAAGTCTCCACAAGTGGGGATACCAAAGTCTCCTCATGTAGGGGATACCAAAGTCTCCACATGTGGGGGATGCCAAAGTCTCCACATGTGGAGATACCAAAGTCTCCACATGTGGAGATACCAAAGTCTCCACATGTGGAGATACCAAAGTCTCCACATGTGGAGATACCAGAGTCACCACATGTGGAGATACCAAAGTCTCCACATGTGGAGATACCAGAGTCACCACATGTGGAGAT